AGAGAGAGAGAGAGAGAGAGAGAGAGAGAGAGAGAGAGAGAGAGAGAGAGAGAGATTAAACATGGGGGGAAACAGTGAATGACGAGCGGAAACGGGGATCGACCAATCCATCAATCACAGTGCAAGGGAAGGGGAGGGAGAAGAGTCGGCAACCCATGTGGAGGAGCAACCAACAAATGAGAGGAGGAATCAACGGGCGACAGGAGGAGCAGGAGGGAGACAGAAGAGTCGACCATCAACCAATCAGAGAGGGAAGCAATGAGTGATCGTCGGAGGAGGAGAAAGACAGAGGAGTCGGCCATCGAGGGAGAAGAGGATGAATTGATAGAGAAGAATATGCAGACACACTCAAGGAGCAACAGGAGTAGGAGCAGGAGGAAGAAGAGTGAACCATGAGGGGAGAAGTCAAATGGACAGAGATGGGAGATCAAGAGGCGGCGGAGTGGGAGGAAGTTCCGAGGAACAAAGGGATGAACCATAGAGGGAGAGGGAAAATGCATGCATCAATCAATCAGAACCTTGCACCGAAATGGGCAGGCCTCTTTGAAAAGGCACGCTTGCAGTTTAGCACGGCTCGGAAGGGAGCTTTGTCAACGTTTTTTTTGAATTTTTTCTTAAATTTGGACCATTCGTCGCTTTATTGGAGTCATCCTTGCGCAGAGGCCATGCTAATCTTCTCTGTATCCTTCCAATTTGACGGATGCCCGAAAGGGCATTCATGAACTAAGGTTTGGCATCATCTGATTGGGTCTGAATTGGGACTTTGCGACTTTTCAAGACAACTGTGCCCGTTCATTCAAGTCGACGTCCTGTTTTCTGTCTGCTGTTTTTCATCTTTTTCTTTCTCCCTGAGCACCTGCCCCCGATCTTCTCCTCGCAATTCCTTTCCTTATTGCATGGTTCTCTCCCTCCTTGCAGTTTCCGCTCATCGCTGTTGTCGGGCTGCGGTATCGCTGCGGTGGATCCGCTTGTTCACATAATGGCAAGGCCGCATCTTTCGTCTCACCTCTTTGCTCTGTTTGTTCGAATCAATCAGCAGCTTGAGCTGTGTGTCTCTCGGAGACAGAAAAAGGGGGCAAAGGGAAGAGGTGAGGGGGAAGAGGAAGTCTTGGAAAAAACTTAATAGCTAGTGTCTGCCTTTAGTGCCACAATAGTCAAGGGAAATACGCCTTGGTTGCAGTTGATGAAACCCTTAATTATGCTGGAACTCCTCTTGTTGGCATCCGGATCCCTGCCGTTCTTTGCAGTGAGCAATGGGTTGGACTTATGGTAGAGTGGATGCGTCGAAATGCGGAAAGGGACCATAACATGTAAGTATTTTTCAGTTTCTAAAATACATTTCGCTTCTTCGGTTTGCTACTTTTTGTGGATGCCTCGAAATGCCAAATGTGTCCATTACACGTAAGGAAAAGAACAAAAAACTTGACACTTAAAAGTGTATTTTCTATGACTTGGCAGTATAAAAGGAACCAGACTGACGCTCACAAGAATAGGCATGGAGCAACACCCATAACGACCCCTGATTTTTTGGTTGGTTGGTTGGTTGGTTCGTTGGTTGGGTGGGTGGGCAGGCGGGCGGCAGGCAGGGAAGGTGTGTGGACGGGTGGGCAGGGGGTAGGTGCACCAACGGGTAGGGGAGGAGGGGAGCTGGGTAGGCCGATGGCCCGGGAGGAGGTGGGCCACCGCGTGTTGGGCCGGGTGGGCAGGCAGGCAGGTGGTGGGGTGGGTGGGCAGGCGGGCGGACGGGCAGGTGGGCTGGTGCTCCGTCGGTCGCTTTGTCCGTTGCTCTGTCGGTTTCTCCGTCGGTTGCTCCGTTGATTGCTCCATTGATTGCTCTGCTGGTTGCTCTGTCGGGGTTGCTCTGTCGGTTTCTCCGTCGGTTCGCCCATCAGTTCTTCCGTCAGTTCATCCATCGGTGGGTTTTTTGTCAGGTCGTCCGTCGGTGTGTCCATCAGTTCTTCTGTTGGTCCGTCCATCAGTTTGCCCGTCGATTCGTCTGTCACTCCGACCATCAGTCCGTCCGTCCCATCAGTTTGCCCGTCGATTCGTCTGTCACTCCGACCATCAGTCCGTCCGTCCCATCAGTTGGTCCGTCAGTCGGTCCGTTGGTCGATTCGTTGGCCGGTTCGTTGGTTGATGCATCCGTCGGTCCGTCCTTTGGTTGGTGGCTCTGTCTGTTGGTGGATTGGTCCATTGGTCGGTCGGTCCGTTGGTTGGTGGTTCCGTCCGTTGGTTGGTGGTTCCGTCCGTTTGTGGGTTGGTCCATTGGTGGGCCGGTTTGTTGGTTGGTCGGTCCGTTGGTTGGTCCGTTCATCCGTTGGTTGTTTCGATGCATCAAAACGCGAAGGGGACTGTAGCATGTAATTGCATCCTAGCATACTTTTGTCGCCCCCATTTACTTCTGTTTGTTAGTTTTCCAGTTTCATTGTTTTGATTTATTACTTTGTGAGCAATGGTTGAAGTTCAGCTCAGTATGAAGCTAGGCTACCAGAGTGGCCCGGGGTCACTTGCCCGGTTGGGCCAAAACAATTAAAAAAAATAAAAATAAGAAAGATATTTTTAAATTTGATTTTTTATTCTAAATTTGATGAAGAGATTCGATGTGACCCCGAGGCAAAAGTTGTTCAGTTTATTTTTCTGCACAACATAGTTTTTTTTCGGATTTTTTATCATTTTCGGTTTTTTTTTTTTTTTTTTTTTTTTTTTTT